ACATCGCGCGCGAACCGCGATAAGCTCGCGTCCGATTCTTCTTTCCTTTCATATATCTCTCTCTCTCTCTCTCTCTCTCTCTCACTCTCCTTTTTCGCACGGGAATGAGATTTTCTTTATGCCGAAACGATCTTCGCGGAAGCGTTCCGAGTCGTCGATGCTGCTAATTGAAACCTTCATCGAGACATCGATCAAGTCGATTCCCCCTCCCCCCCCCCGCTTGATTGATTATTTTTACTCGTAGCGTAGCTTTTTAGCCGTTTCCACTTCGCATTTTTCCGAACGAATCGCTCTTCATAGCACGTTATCGGAGTATACACATCCGAGAAGGCCGAAGAGTCGATTGGACAATCTGCATGCCGGAACGTGCCGTGAATAAAACTGATGAGCGCAACGCGACGCAAGGGTAACGCGAGTAATCAATAAATAGCGGGGGAGAGATTTGATTAATAACCGATAGAGCGCAACCGGTCCGACCGAAGTTGTCTCGGTCGGGGAGGGGATGCGAGAATGGAAAAAAAAAAAGGACAGATATAAATGCGGACGGAAAATGGCATGGCGCGGCGAACTAGAGGTTGCACGAGAAAGTCCCAAAGTACCTATTGAACGAACCACTCAGTCGATGCAATTGCGTGCGCTGCGGCACACCCGTTCTCCTCTTCGAGGTTGTCGGATCCCCGTAGCCTTGAGTGAATCTCACAGAGAAGATTTCTCCGGTGCCGCTCCGTGGAAGAAGTGATTTCTTGAGTTTGCCTCTCGCAGACGTGGACTGATCGCGTCATCGAGCGGAATTCCAATTGCGAAGAGAGAGACACGTCACGATGGCTAAACCGAAACGGTAATGAGTGCCACTTAAATCAAAAGTGTTCTATTAAAGGGGAAAATTCGCCATCCGCGATTCACTTTGAACAACTTTGATTCTTTTGATAGTGCGCTGTTATCTGTCGTGTGCTGCGAAGAAGATGATTTCTTTTAAGAGTTCTTATGCGATCGCGTTTACGAGGAATGTATAGACTTGCAAGTGTCTCTCGGATTCGACAAAGGTTTGTAAAAACTCCTCGGCTTATTCTTTGCTTCGCTCGGGGGAAAAAAAAGTGATAAACGAGCAAAAGTTCGCGAACGATTTCGATAACTCTTTCAGCCTTAATTGCAATCCAGGTCGCTTCTGACATCGTCCCGCTGAAAGTTTGACTGTAAACTCTGTCTCATTGCCGTAGTTGCCGCCTCCGCGCGAGCGCGTACATACAATGTAACAGAAGGCAGAAGTTAAATTATTATTCGAAGGACACAAAACTGACTCGATTACAAACGCAGATTGTCACTCTTTCACGACATCACCGCTTTTTCCCTTCGTTACATTAAACATCCTGCCTGAGGCACACTTTGGGAAATAATTTAGAAGGAGCAAGTCCAGTCTTTGTCAATTTTACTCACATTTCGCAAATGGCATTATAGCATGTTTTAACTTGGAAATCGCTGGTTCCAGTCCCTAACTGCTACTCTGATATACCGGTTTTGTCTCGTCGTAAAAATGCCTCCAGCTACTACCGACCCCTCTCACTGTTAAAGTGCATTTAGTCAGTGATGCGTGCCAGTTTATTACTACAGGCTAGATTACTTTCCTACGCACCACCTCTTACATCACTCTTAAACCACTTCTTCTTCTTCACTCTTTAATTGCTTCTTTGAAATTTTATTGGCTCGTGTCGATCAAATTGTGATATATGGCAAGAGAATTTGCCTCCGTTGCCAATTATCGTTTTTCTGGTCTTTAAATCACGAACATTAATATTATTACAATTATCAGAAATTTGATGAGAAATGTGAATATTAACGAATCAAAAATGCAATATTATCAATTCTTAAAAAAAAAATTGCACGATGATATATCATCAAGACATTGATAACTAATAATCGCTTAATATATACATAATATCTCTCGTGAATTATTTTCTTTGCCTCTTACAAATCTGGCAAGCCTCACATCCCAAGTGAATTTGCGAGATAGAGAATTTTTAAGAAAACAAATTAATAAATAGAATTTTCAAATGTCAGATATCAAAAAAGAAATCTTATAAACCAAAAATGCAGTTTAACTACATTGATTTGCTTTATTTTTTCTTAAATTATTTTATGAATAAATGTGGAAGATAAATGTTATTTTTACATTTTGCAGATTTAAGTTTACATAATTTTATGTATTTATAATTTAAATAAATAAATAGGAGATGCCAAAAATACCTGTATTAATCGTCGCTAAATTTCGCAAATTCAAACATCATATTCTTTTTTAATGTATAATGTCGATACGGCAATTTGTTACAATACTCTTATTTGTCAAATACGCGAATCAGTATTTGATTTAATCTTTTTTTTATGACCCGATTCGGTTATCTCAATAGACGGGCGATGAGTATAAAAGGCAAACACTGATCATCCGCAGTGCTATTGCTTCACAAAACTGTTCGATAATAATATTTAACGATGTTCAAGTGTCTTTTAATTATTTTCATTTTTTGGTGTGAAATTCTAAGGTATCATGTATTCGCTCAAATTGATACGGTTATAGACTCACCGTCTTTATTGCTACCTATAAATAAACAAAATATCAGTGCACTTGCAGGTAAATTATTTATGTCTAGTAAACTCTAACATTTCTTTTGTAAAAGAAAATGCAAAAACGAATATTTATTAAATTCCCTAAAATTTTTATAATTCTTTTATTTTAATATCTCTAACTTTTTTCTTTCATTTTGCAACTGCTCTCGATTTAGATTGTGAATTGAGGAAAGATCTACATAATTTACATAATTTTCATATTGAACAAAATTTATTCGTTATTACAAAATATATAAAGTTTATAGATTTCTCTCATTACAATATTTATTTTTTAAACAAGTTACATAAATAAGAAAAAAGAAGACGATAGAATTATAGAAATGTGGAATATTTCTTATGTGTATGTTTTAAAGAAAACTCAAATGATTTTATTAATTTCATTTAGAAGAGTTAAGCAAGAAGCCTGTGATTACTATGAATGGTCATAATAATTATCACGTCGGCCAGCAAATATTTTATATATATCACTCCTCCAAGCAATCATCACCAATAAATAAGAATGGCTATCTTTTCACATCTGGAATAGGCGCACATAAGCTTCACAATCGCAAACTTATCTGGAACAAGGCTCGTCAGGCTTGTATCCAAGAAGGAGGTAAAGAAAATAATTCATAATGTACTTTAAAAAAATATTAAGCGATGATGGAACATCGATATTTTAATAAACGTTATTATATAGACAGTGTATGATTGGCTCGATATGATTGACTTGGTATTTATATTCAGGAATTACAGAAGCAGTGAATAAAAAAATAGGATATTTTTCAATACCATGTAAAATTATTATTTAAAGAAATGATTATTGTGTTTTTGTTTTAAAAAAATATGTATTTTTAATAAGAAAAATAAGCTGCAAAAATATAACAGTTATGCAGTTATGGATAAACAATAATCGCAGACTAAACGACAATTGTAATCTATATGTCTATATGTAAAACAGTGTCCACGATAATTTAAACACGGTTTATTCGATGAATTTTAAATTTTAAAAATAATATTTTTAATAACGGTTCATATTGGTTCATTGGAGGCTGTTTTTTGATTTTTAATTTTTTATCTTTATAATCTTTTTTTTTTTCCCAAAAAAGTCATTAATGTATCGATGGTAACAAGTCTCGAGCGGAAGATTTCTCAGTCAGTATTTTATATGATTAGGTCATTTGGCTGTTATCAATTCGGATTCTGAAGAAAAGATTCTTTTAAGTATGCTACAAGAGAAAAATATAGATGCTGGTTGGCTCGGTGTTCACGATCTTTATGAAGAAGGTGACTGGGTTACCGTCACGGATGAGGCCTTAGAAAATACAGGATACTCCAAGTGGTCAACTAAATGGCCAAACGAACCCGATAACTTCGATGGTAATCAGAATTGCGGTCTTCTAATTAAAGAAGGTGGAATGGACGATGTGAAATGTGCCAGTATGCATTCTTTCTTTTGTGAAATATCTGCGTGAAATTGATGGTCTGAACGTCAGAGATTTATTATTAGCATCGCAGATATAAATTGCGCGCATACGCATTTGTAATAATATGCAATCTAAATAAATAAAACTTTATTTTCATGTTATTCGTGCGAATGTAAAATGCGATTTTTAATATCGCAGATATAAAATCGTGGGCGTATACATTTATAACGATATAATATTTAAATAAATAGGACTTTATTTTATTTTGCAATATGAGTAAGGATTTTTAGAAAGATGAATATTTTTAGAGATTTGCTTTTGCAATATTAAATAGCGATAAAAATGTGCACGTTTTGTTGGTATAAGCTTTTTATTTTCCTCTCGCTTATGTCGAATGTCGGCGAGGAAGGATTAAATTAATCGGGAGATGATATCACTTGAATTTGACTTAGTTTTTCATTATTCTCTGCTGATAATTCTCTTTGCGTTCTCTGCAAGGAGGTTCCTTTGAATGATCGGTTTGTGTTTCTATGCAACCGGCGGCTGAAACCCGACGATTTAATACACGATTAAATTGGCAAGTATGTATCGCTTGAATTGCTCGAGTATAGAGTAAGGATGATGGAAAGTGTCACGCGCGATATTATACAGCCGTGAAACACTATTCAGTTTACTTGAATAGCAGGTAATCGGGTTTGCGAATGAAGACGAATGAGCCTTCTTCCGGCTTGTGTTCGACCAAATGAAGGAGTATCAGTGGAATAACCAGTGAGATGAACTATTAGTCAATTAGTATTATGTCAATAGTCAGTTGAAATTTCGCCACGAATATTACGTGTGTATTGTCGTAACTTTTAATCTGTATTTTTCTTTATTATTTTTTTACACGCATTTTATTTACGCATTAATTTGTGCGCATCATTACTATTTCGAAGCACGCAATTAGAGGAATCGTCTAATGTTTCTATTTATTCTTCAAATAATTATCGTGTAATAGAATTGCTTCTATTGAATATCTTTCTTTATTTGATAAAACATTCATACTTGAATATGAAATGAACATCTCGTCATTTCGTTAACTGTTTGGCAAGACCTACCGACAACTGTATTTCATTCGAATTTTCTATTTAGTAACCACCATAGAATATCGAATTTTTTTTGTTTCCTTGCCATTACTTCTGTCTTTCTATCTTACCTTCACTTGCTGAAATAATCCGCTTATCCCCAGGACGCGTTTCGCAAAGTCTAGTTTCTCTCGGAGTTCTCTTCGGAGAATACGACATTTCCGACTACGTAACAAATAAGACCGACTTATACGTGACGGTATTGGCAAATGTAAATTCAATAAAAGAGGAGTGACTGGTATGGCGAAGTGAGATTGAATGTATTTCTGTAACTGCTGGCCTAATGGCCTCTGACAGATACATCGCATATTACCGTATTGAGAGAAAAGGTGCGGAAGGAGTATTTAAATTCAAGGTACAAACGATCGGTCGCGATAAAGAATCGATTGTGCTGTGTGAATCCTATTTTTTACTATATATAATAGAAAAAAAAAATAATATTGAGTCAACGTTAATTAAAAATAATTTCATTGATTTAATAACAATATTAATGAAATTAATATAAATTTATAATATATGTGCATTTATTTCGTTGATATTGTCACTGAATCAAAATCATTTTCAATTATATTTGATATTGACTCAATCTCGACACACACACACACACCACACAAAACGCTAATACATTTGGAAAAAAATTATATTGTTATATGAATATAAATAATTAATGTATATGATTGATTTCGAATGGTAAATGAGTTGGTTAGGAGGTGTTATAAGGCGTGTCCGTGCAGTATATGAGGTATACTGGGAGAAAACCAAAGCATAAATCCAAATGCATATTCGAATATATTGGACTGTCAGGGATGTTTCCATAGCGCAGCAATTGTGTCTCAATCGAAGATTCATCCCGCGACCGCGGGAACCGCAAACCTGGAAAACCGTCGTTCGAAAAAGCATTTCAACCCTCGCTCTGCGTGTATCGATTGGCGCACGATCGACGAGCACGATCCTTCCTCCGTGTTCTGCACATTGCCGCGACTCGACGGAAATTTCTAGCGGTCTCGAGGCAACGCTCGTTTCCCATTTCTTATGCGTTCCGTGTTTCCGCGTCGATCCGCAAGGATCGCCTGGGCGAAGCCAATCCGTGGAGATTCACGCGATATTTTCGCCTTGGCATTATCCCGTTGCATCGGAAGCTTGTTTTCCTTCCCGTCCTTGCAAAAATCGCCGGGCTTCTCTGCGTAAACCGCTTTGCGGGAGTCCGCTGTAAAACGCGGGACGTGGACCGATAGAGAGAGGAGAACCGTTCGAAAGCTACGAATCCGGGACGAAAACCGGGATGAAATTCAATGAAATCGACTGCGCTAATGTACCTAATGAATAAGCGAATGATAATGATGCCTGTACACCGCCTAGATCGGTCATTCGACTAATTTGCCCCCTTAACGTAGTATTAAATTCTTCGTTACTCACGCGATTAAGAAACTCTGGCAGACGCGCGATACGAATAGAAAATTAGTCTGTACTTATATCGCGGTGAAATTATGTCTGTTCTGAAAACCCAGTTATGCATTCGGCTCGCTAATTCGGAACAGGAAACCTATTCTTCCCTTTCACGTTTTGACGGACTGATTCTTCAGGAAATGCTCGCGACGCAATGGTAGCGGCTCTGCCTGTGACAGGCGTTTCTTGTTCGACTGCCGACTCCCTATTTTCGCGATTCGGGTCGTCGTCGTCGTCGTCGTCGTCGTCGTCGTCGTCGTCGTCGTCGTCGTCGTCGTTGTCGTTGTCGTTATCGTCGTCTTCTTCGTCCTCGTCCTCGTCCTCGTTCTCGTCCTCGTCCTCGTCCTCATCGTCGTCGTATCACGCCGGCGTATCACACTCAGCCACCTCGCTTTTGTTACGACAAGCGATGGTGGGGTAGGATCGACGGCTGCTTTTGCGATGAACTCGAATGCATAATGTTGAGCCAGGAGCCGCGAGGATTTTCAGCAAATTTGAAGAGGCGGAATCGATACTCCGCTTCGCGGCGTAGTCGTCGCGGCATAGGCGAGGGCATTCGCACAAATTTACGGATTGGTAATCTGTGGATTTCCTAACGAGCCTAAAATCCTCCGGTTTCCAACCGCTCCGCTCGTGTGTAACCCCTTCGCAACTTTATCCACGCGTAATAACAATCGTATCCTCAACGTTCGTTCAAGCCGAGCCGAGCCGAGCCGAGACTGATTTAAGACGCGCGCAAGAACACGCGCGCGCGGAAAAAAGAATTACTTGGAATTACCAAAAAGCGACGTTGAGTTCACCGTGGCCACGTCGAACCGATGGTGCCATTCGTGCTCGAGAAGAAAACTCGAGAAGATCATTGAGCTCTCGAGTACAGCGAAGCGACGGAAGAGCGAGGAGAAACGGGTACGAAATTCGATTTAACCCGATAACGACGTCTCGCATATCGTCGCGCGGCCTCCGCCTCGCCTCGCCTCGCCTCGCCTCCTTTTCTTCCTTTCTTCTTTCTCTCTCTCTCTCTCCGCTGGCACCGTTCACCAAAGCTTTATTACATCCTTTTTATCTTCATTAGACCCGGGAAGTTTATTTATCCGTGTCGCGCTAAAGAACGCGCTTTATTTGTCGACCGCCTAGCCACCGCTCCAAGTTATACCTGCCTCCCGTGGTAATCTTAGCGCACACTTAATTGGACATCGCTGTGAGACCGATAGGTACAGATAGGTGCTCGTCGCAAAGTGCTGAGTTTGCTGGTAAGCTGCTGGTCTACAAGCGTCACCAGCCATTTCCCCGGGTTCCATAACTTCTATACCAGTGCACTCGGGTTGCTTGAGAGGAATTGACGCGAGCCGATATCGATATTCGTCAATTCGACGTTGCGCGCTGAAGTGGTCGCCGAAAATCTTTATGTCAATTCCTCCCGCGCGCCTCTTGTGACTCGACCGAAGGGCGCGTGATAGATAATTTTATTTCAGGGAAAATAGTTTCGACATTTTTTTTTCTTTTTTTCTTTTTTTTTCTTTCATCAGGAAGCGGATTGCGAGGAGATTGCTTTATTTTTAACACGCTTTAACTCTCGCGTTAAGCGTGCAATTCTACCTTCTTATTTCGTTCCCTAATGCTAATTTTCCCAGAAGATGGAGAATTCCTCGCCGCGCAGCGCTTCCCGCGTAATTATTCCTCCGGATATATTAGCGATATTACGCGTATTAGTTTTCCAGGCTGGTACGGATAGGAACAACGTCCGTCCACGTAACGCATCGCGCGCGTCACAGTGCGTGTCGGAGAATCGTCTTCGTCTACGGTCGGCGGCGAGGGAAGACTTCCGTGAAGGTGAAACTCCGAAGAAGGGGACCAAGCGAGACGACGACGCCGACGACGATGACGACGACGACGACGGCTTCTCTTTCGCGTTGTTGCTCGGCGCGGCCGACCAGTCGCGCGCTTAGACGTTCTCGAGCCGAGCCGAGCCCAGTCCGCGTCGAGCCGCTTGCATGGCCGCTTCCGTGGCCGCTCTCGAGGTCGTTACTCGCCGAGTTCTTGGTATCGGAGACACCGTCGAAAGTCAGCCGTGCGTTCGCATATCGCGCGACCAGATGCTGATCACGGCGGGCTGTTAGCCAACGAGAATTATGCTGGTGATAAGCGCCTTAAAGCAGGTCGCGAACGCCGCTACCAATGCGGTTCACTCGGCCACCGGCAACGTTACCGGACACAATAATTCCGGTGAGTCAACTGGATTTTTCGAAATTTTCCTTTCCCTTTCTGGATTTTGAACGGTCCGTATACTCGTAGATCTCCTCATTTTTCTAGTCCAGTTAACGCGAGGCTGACGGCCTTAAAACACGACGTGCGACAATATCAAAGTTACCTCCGCTTTCATTTTAACGATATAAGAAATAAGAATCGATGAAAATAAAATCTGCGAACAC